TATATAATTCTGTATAAATAATTATGTAGCTGTAATTAATTCTAAGGTTGGCTAGCTTTGTTCAAAAATCATGAATGCAACATTTTATGACACATAATCAAATACAAATGTCAGAAACCTACACGTGTTGTGCATTTCCCTCAGCCGAATTATTTCAAGCACAAGACACGACATGTAACAGTATTTAAAAAACTTTCTAGATGAGCATTACTGAAATATTATAACAATTAATACAATTAAATCAACAAAAGCTTACCTGCAAATATTAGATGCTGGTTTCTTAGCTGGTATTGTTTTTCCAACCATGTTTATATGTTTTTTTTGTGCTAGTTTAGCGTGTATCAATAAAAAACTGACTTTATCCAGTTAAATCAGTATACTAAAACAACGAGTTATAATTGGATTTCCTTAGAAGTAAAAATGACACAGTGCTGCGGCAAGCACATTTATTGTGCTACGGTAAGCACGTTTTATATTTTCATTCCTGAAAATAATCCAATTTCACCGCGTTTTTATGGTAACCAAATAGAATTTCCAAATAGAAATTAAAAAAAAATATATATATATATATTTTGAATTTTGCATGCTATATTTTGCTATTATATTATATTATTACATTATGCTATTTCATGCTATACAATGTTCTTATATCCGAAGATATTGTTGGCTTAGCATAGGAACAGCCTCAAATTGTCATGAAGACTAATCCAAAGTAGCGTCCGTTATAGACCAACATTTTTACGTACCGAATTACTACTCAAGCGCTGAGTTGGCGGTAACAGGATTTGAACTCGTATCATCAACAGTCCGGGTTTAAACATTTTGTTCAACGCTCTAACCAACTGAGCTATCCAGTAACATAACCAACTGAGCTATTCAGCCACATATTATTAGCCGTATTACCTAAATATAATAAAATATAAGTTATCTTTCGAAAACTTTGTTAATATAACATAAAACACAATAATTCTTTTATATGTAATAACGCTAAAACAAAAATTTATACTAAATACATATATACATATATATAATATATATATATATATATATATATATATATATATATATATATATATATATATATATATATATATATATATATATATATATATATATATATATATATATATATATATATATATATATAACGTTAGAAACATTATAAAATTAACTGACAAAATATGTCGACTTCTTGAAATTATTATCTTTTTTATTCAGTGGATTTGCATTCTATGGAATGTAAGTCCGCTGGTCGATTGTTCTAATTTTTTGTTTACGGTTTTATACTATTTTGCTGATTTTTATACTGTTTTGATATAAGCGGATTCGGACCATTTAAAAAGGGGGCGATTAAACCTAAACATTAATCCCATCTATCATAAAACTTTGTCGGGTTTTTTTTTTGTTTTCTTGAAGAATGTTTTCTCAGTTATTTGAATATCGCTGTTTGGTTATCTTAATATCGCTGTCTCACACTCTCTTAAGCAGTTTAACAATAAAATTTAAACATTTTTAATGTCATTTTTATGTTTTTCAATAAAGGCCTGTTTTAATAACTAAAAAACATTTTTCAAACTATGAAAGGGGTGATTGTACCATCACCCCCTATAGATCCGCCCTTTTGTTTTGCTAATATGCATGACAGTCAACACCAGTGGGTGATGGAGGGTCTTTTTTTTTTTGGAACTTTTTTTTTTGAACTTTAGGCATCCTTTAATGCGCCTAAAATAATTAAAAACCCCGGATTAAACAATATTAATGTGAATTTTCTAAAACCTGTTTTTGATTTAACAATTTATCTCTTTAGTTTATTTTTAATCTTTCAATAACAACTGTTTTTTTTTCTTGTCAATTAAAATACAAGAATAGTTCCTGTATACAAAAATGGTGACAATTCTATATCATCCAACTACAGATCTATATTCTCTCTTGTTTTTCAAAGTTGCTTGAATGTGTTATGTATAACATACTACATAGTTATCTTGAAAAACATAATATTTCATTCAGCAAATAGTTTGGTTTTCAAAACGGACATTTAACACATCATTCTGTTACTGATTTAGCCAGTCTAATTCTCAACGGGTTTGCGAAAAAAAGTTATACTACGTCTTCTTCTTGCTCCGGCCATTTATTATACGTGTATGATCTTTTTTATTTTATATTTTAATAAACGGCGAAGGAAACAAATAAATAAAAAATAAATATGGAATTCATATCTGGAAGACGATAAGGAAAGCCAAAACGCTTAGATTAAAGTTATTCCAAGACAACATTAACCTCAGCAGTTGTTTTAGTTTGAGGCCTCAATAGACGTCAGTTCTTCATGTTGTTATTAGGGTGCTTTTTTTTGTTTCTGGTCAGCGGAGTACTTTTTGGTGTCCATCAAAATTTCAAATTATTTATAAAGCATCCTGAACAAAATTAGGTAGAGAGCTATACAGTACTTTCACAACTTTTGTTTTTCACGGAATAAAGCGTTTTGTTCATTTTGTTGAATCTTTCAATATTTATGCTTCAGATGGCTATCATGACTGCCGTTTGCAAATGATCTGTTTTCTGGTAAAGTCTACTAATGGACTTGTTATTTCTTTTTTCAAAAATTTATGTATTGAATTAAATTGTTGAAAAATAAAAACGTTATTATTTGGACTAAGATTTATTAGTCAAACTTAAGAAGCAAATTTAAAACTATTTTTATCAATCCTTTAACATGAGCATTGAAGGTATGATGTAAAAATGGAAGTTGCAGCAGGCAAAAATAAGGTTTGACATTGTTGCCACACTTGAAAAATAAAGTAAAACGTTTTCACAGCATCAGAATTTTTTTTCTTTTTATAAAAATAAAATTCTGATGTTTTTGTCTATGCTGGATATGGGAAAAGACAGGGTTAGGTTTATTTCCCGGTATTCAGGTACTCTATCTAAACTTTTAGCATTTCAGCGTTTCAACATATATTGCTGAGAATAAAAATTAATAAATAATACTTCTATTTTCCTATAAATACAACATCATACATATAATGCAGTAAAACGTTATATCTGCAACTGTTTTTTGTAGCTTTCTAAAATTTATTTAAACGAAAAAGTGTTGCAAACTTGTTTGAAATACAAGTGAAAAGATATATATTTTTTCTATCAAAAAAAAATTTTTTTGTGCGTTTTATTTTTTTATTCAAAGATTATTTTTTCAAATTTTTTATTTAAACGCATTTGCTAGGGATTGCGTCTGATATTTCAACTTCAGCTTTAAACTGATCAGCTTCTAGCTGAATAGTGAACGATATGAATATCGTGGAGAAATTACACCATAATTAAGTTGTACAAAATTGTGTACAAAAAATAATTCAATCAAAACCTGTTACAGAGACACAATTTAATCATACTTGAAAAAAATTTGCAAAAAATTGTTGCTTTTTATATGTGTTTCTGCCATGCTTAGATTGCTAATCGAAATGGCTTTTACTATTTTTTAACGTGTTAGATATATGAGAGATTTTTTTAATTGTTTTTTTTTTTGTAATTTTATTATTCCTTTTAGACAATTAGTAACTTTAAGTAAAGTTCTATTTGCACAGTTATTACAAAACTATAATTCCCTTTCATGCAGTGTCATGTAAGCGCCTGTGTGCAGAGATTAGTCATGTGAATGAAAATAAGTTATAATTTTCATTATAGACTAACCCTAACTTAAGTAACAACCTTAACTTTATTAATTTCTAAATAAAGAGAGGGAGGGGCGGTAGTATTTTTACATATAAACTCTCAAATTTAAAAATGAAATATTTTTATCATATTTATTTCATCAAAATCTTTCGGTATTTTAAAATTACATCAATATCAAATACTAAAACCCCCTCAAAATGTTTATACTAAATATTTTCATGTTTAATGCTTGATTGTGCTTAAATTTAGGAAAAGTAGCAGCCAAAACTAATTTTACCTCATTGTAAACATGTTAATCATATAAGTACCTGTCTCATAAATGCCATAAAGATTTTTTGCAGACTTTTTACACATCTTATACCATAGAAGAAAAAAAGTTTATCAACATTTATACTTTGTTTTAATTGCAAGAAAATAATGTGTCGTCCATAAAAAACGTCACTATTTTTTAGGTAATTTTTGACCTATTCTTGTCTCTTTTCATCGTTTATCTTTTTCTTCTATACCCCCCTTAAAAACTTTTCATAAATTTTGGAACCCTTCCAAATTTTATGACAAATTTTTTAAGGGGGGTAGAGAGGATAAAGATAAACGATGAAAACACCGAAATGCCCTTCTTCTTACTTAGCTGGGTAGCCGCAAAAAAGGCATTAATGGTCCAACAAAGATTTTCCGAAGCAGAAAACTGACATTAGGCCGATACTCGCCCATTAGTGGCAAAATCAAATAAAAAAATGATATAAGCATGAGCATTTGCGTTTACTGCGCAGAATTTTGCACCCATCTTGAAAGTCGTTTTTTTCATTTTTTATACAAACATATCTTAAAATTTTATTGTTTAAAAAAATGCTTTTAGGTTAATCTATATTGCGTAGATATTTTTTATTTTTTTATTTTTTAGTTTTCATGCTATATTTTTTTATACAATGTTCTTATATCCGAAGATATTGTTGGCTTAGCATTGAAACAGCCACAAATAATCATTAAAGCTTGGTTTCCAATAGTTGTAGAAATGTCTTACAACAGTTGTACAACATACCTTTGATTTGTTGTGCTGTAATTTGTTGTGCAACGTTGTGTTTCCATTATAATGAATTGCCGCTAAATTTTTTATATAATAACAAAAAAAAATGGCCGCCACTAGAAATTATGCTACTCTAAACTATCGACTTTTTGTTATACTTTTAATTTTAAAACGCCGAAAAAGGATAAAAAAAAGAAAACATCAGTTTTGGGTGAGAGAACTATTTAAAAAACGTGTTCAGCAAGGTGCATTTAGTTCTTTGGTGAAAGAAATGAAGCTATTTGATAGAGAATTTTTTTATCGATGTTTAAGAATGTCTCCTGACAGACTTGAACATCTTTTGTCATTAATTGGATCTTCATTAACGAAAAAGTATTGTCCCAGTAGAGATTCTATATGTCCGTCGCAAAGATTAATTATAACAATTCGATACCTTGCTACAGGAGAATCACAACAAACTCAGTCATTTTATTTTCGAGTTGGCAGAGCTACAGTTTGCCATATAATTGAAGAAACTTGTTGTGCAATATGGGAAGTTCTCAAGACAGTCTTTCTACGAGCCCCAAATGACGTAAAAGATTGGCAAAATATTATTAAAGAGTTTGATCAAAATTGGAACTTTCAACAATGTATAGGAGCTATAGATGGAAAGCATGTACGCATTGAAGCACCTGCAAAATCTGGATCTTTTTTTTTTATAACTACAAAGGGTTTTACAGCATGGTTTTATTAGCAATTTGTGATGCTAAATATTGTTTCACAATGGTTGACATTGGGGCTTATGGAAGGGATAATGATGCTGCCAATTTAAATGCATGCGCGTTTGGGAGAGCATTTAATAAGGGTTATTTTAATTTACCAAAAATTTCTGAATTTGATCCTAAAGTTCCACCGGTCCTTGTTGGAGATGACATATTTGCACTTAAACCATGGTTAATGAAACCGTACCCAGGTAAAAATCTTACTGTTCAGCAAAGAGTTTTTAATTATCGCTTATCTAGAGCACGTAGAACAATCGAAAATAGTTTTGGAATTTTAGCAGCTAGATGGAGAATATACAGATCTCTAATTAAAGCAAAGCCATTGAAAGTGGAACATATAATAAAGGCTACTGTTTGTCTTCACAACTATTTGCGTTTAACAGATGGAGCGCATTATATTCCTACTGGTTTTGTTGATAGTGAAAGTCATTCAGGAATTGTTTTTCAAGGAGCTTGGAGAAAAGTATTACAAGATTAAGGGTGTTTGCTTGATTTCTCAAAATCATCATGTAATAGATCTGTTTTTGATGCAATTGCAATAAGAAATACTTATAAAGATTATTTTAATTCATGTAAAGGAAGCCTTTCGTGGCAAATGGACTATGTTCAATCGTGTGGCCACAATCCAGTTAATAACTAGATTGTATGTAATAAACAAAACTTCCTAATAAAAGAAAATATGTTATATTTAACAAACCAATAATTTACTTTTTTTTTTTATAGTTAAAAGATATACTTCAACAGTTACCTAATAATTAATAAAAGATTAACATTTTATACCTCCATGATTTTCTAAAATAAGTTATAGTTTATCACATAAATAGACTTAACAAAATAGTAAGCTAAATTTAGTCTATTCTAATGATAAATCAAAAGTAACTTCACATTTAATTTTACTTAAAATGTTATGTTTCTTGCATCAATAGGTTAAAAAGAATAGTAAGGCAGAATGTGTCTTTTTAAACAAATTATCAACAGTTACTTCATAGTTTATTTACTTCTAAAGTACAGTTTTTCCACATTGACCAGTTAAGTAGAGTAATAGGCTAGATAGTTTCACCTCTGTCTGGAAACTCTAATTTAAGAAGTAATGTTTGTATTTGAACTTTAGCCAAGGCTTTAGAATAGTTGTTTAATCGCCTAAGTTGCGGAATTAATGATTTCATAAATAAATAATCTTCATCCTGCTCTTCAAGAGTCGGATTTTCAATATTGGAGTTAATTTTTTCTAATGTTTTCACTAAGGTTCTATCAAGTAAATCATCAGAATCCAACTTTTTTCTTTTTTTTTTGTTATTAGCGTGAATTGTTGACTCACTTGACTCTTCTTGCACGCAAGTATTTATAGAGCTGTTTTCTGTGGTCACATCTTCAGATATATGATCATTATTAAATGGATGATGAGTATTTTCAACTTGCTCACATACTATGTCAATGTTTTCTTCCAAATTCGATGTTTCTAATCTGGAGTCAGAAGGTAAACAAATACTGGTTGTTGTTTCGCGATGTTCTATAAAAGTATTTAGCCAATCGAGCTGAAGAAACTGAGGTGGAACTGAGTTCCTTCCAGAACCTGATGGAATATTTTTTTTTGATTTCAGCCACCTTCCATAACTACTTCGAATGCTTTTATATTTCTCTTCCGCTTGATTAGGAGATAAGTTTGAAAGACGACCAACTTCTTTCCATGCATTTTTCTTTTTCCATTTATCTTTCAAATCTTTATTAAACTTGTCATACAATACTGGAAATTTTTGAACTTCATTCATAAAAGCTGCTTTAGATAGTTTTTCAAACACACATAATGGAATTGTCGTCATATTTTGTAAAAAATGAAGATGTTTTATTAACTTTACAGTTTTTGTGCAGTTTCCAATAAAAAATTAACTGCGCGACCAAAAAAACGGTTGCAGAAATAGAATTTTTTCAATACTCACAACCGGAGTTGTACAACATGAGTTTTGTTGTACAACCGACGTAAAGTTGTACAACTTACGGTATAAAATGTTTCCATTATAAAACAAAGGTGTTGTGCAACTGTTGTACGACATTTCTACAACTATTGGAAACCAAGCTTAAGACTAATCCAAAGTAGCGTTCGTTATTGACCAACATTTTTTGCGTACCGAAGTACTACTCAAGCGCTGAGTTGGCGGTGGCGGGATTTGAACTGGCATCGTTCAACAGTCCGGGTTTTAACTTTTCCTTTGACGCTCTAAAAATCTGAACTATCCCGCTACATAATATTTTCTAAATAAGTTTTAAAAAACAAATATTTATAAAATGAAATTTTTTTTTTGAATTAATTTCTAAATAAATCATTGCAATTAATTCTTTTGTTAAATAAATAAAGTTTCGTATGGAATATGTTGTTACACTACAAGTAACATAACGATTATGATATATTAACATTGTTTACATCAAACATTAACCATTAAATTGGTTTAATATTTAAAATATTATTTTTTTTAACAAGCTAAAACTGGTTTAAGAAACTTTAAACCTAAGTTAGTTAAAGAAACATAAAACATAATTTATGGTAACTGAAGAATGATTGATATAGATAAAAAAAGCTGATAGAAATATTGGTTTGATAGAAAAGGAAATATATAAAATTTATGTATATTATTGGGCTTATTACTTGAACAATTTTTCTTTATTTTATTATTTTTTTGTTGTCATATTCATACATTTTCTGTAATGTAATTTGATTGTTACTAACAGATTTATCTTTTATATTCTTATAGTTTAATAGGAGTTATATAAAGATAACATTTTCTTTATAAATATAGTATAAGAATGTTATTGTGGTGCAAAATTTACTAACATGTAAAGCACTAAATAGTAATAGTGACCAAGTCTATATATCTAGATTTAAACATATAAGTGTTCTCAACAAAATAATTTGAAAAATTTGTTGCTGACTTTTTTTTTTTTTTAAAGTTTAATCATTGTTTTATGTTTTTTCAAATAAATTTGCTTATTTAGTTACTTATATATACAAAAATAAACCAACAAATTTGTGATACACATTATTAGTGTATAGTCTAACAAAAATAGATGCCAGAGTTTAACAACTTTTCACAGTTTTGTATATATTTATCGTAGAGTGTTAAAAATAAAGCTTAGGTATATTTTATCGCTTTCACAACTTCTAGTTATAAATGGTTTCATTTGTCATCTATTTTATTTATAAAAAATAATATTAACCGTTTGAGTTTTTGGATTGTTCTTTATATATCATTTATTGTTGTCTTTTGTAATAGAATTTTTTATAAATATTGGAGCGTTATGCCAATTTATTACCTGCAAGCTTTAATAGTTCTGTATAGTTATATCACATCACCTCTTGATCTTCTAATTTTTTAAGTGTAGAAAAAGGTTTATCAGTGAGTTTTTACATGATAAATCTTTTAAACTATAAACAGGAATTGTTTTATGTTGGAGTTGTTAAATCATAATAACATGTTTCCGTATATGTAAACTCCTTAATGGGGTTCAATATTCAAGGTGAGGTCTAAATAATAATGTACTATTAACGTTATATTTATTTTATCTAATAATTTCAAGAAGTGTTTGATTTGCCTTAATATCAAACTTCTAAAGTCATTTTTTTTCTATAATTTCATTTTTAAAATGCTTTCACTAAAAGTAACTATGAATCGCCAATAATGATATTATTAATCTGATTTTTGTTTAGTATGTAGCATTTATTTTTATATATTTCGTTTTAGTATGTATGTTCCAAACTTACGTGATAATAAAACTCCATTCTATAGGTTTGATGCCTTTTCTTATTTTGTTATTTTATATGTAAAACTTTGAATAAAGTAATTTTGATAATTAGATTTTATAGAATTGATGTTTTGTTTATAGAGTTTGTTTGTGATGATTAATGTGCCACCAAATATTAATGCAAAATTAATGAAGCTATGACAATAAATGTAATGTTGACACAAAAATGCCAAGTCTCGAGTTACTTGGTTCATCTAAATCTCGTAAGATTACACTTAATCAAATAAGTTATTAATATTTCTGTTTTTAGTGTTTAAGTGAAGGAAAAGTTTTTTCGTCTTATTTTTACTGTTACTAATGACTAGATTTACTGTGTTTTATAAAATCGTTGCTGTGTATAAAAATATTTTGGAGCATTGAGAGGTATTTTAATTTTTTACTTTTAAATTTTTTATTAATTTTTTGTTTATTCAAAATAACTTTTACAATAAAAAACTCAATAAAATTCATACAATAAGAGTTTTGTTGACTTTACAATAAGACCGCAGATACTTGCAGAAGGTCATGAGATCTTGTCATCGAGATCCGCCTTAACAGATTTTAAATTAAAAAAATGTCTAAGATGCTTTAAATTGTAATTATACTGTGAGAATATTTTAAAGTTATCTATTTATAATAAAAAGATAAATTGCGTGTCATACTGTATTTAGAATCTGCTGTGAATTAAAAATTAAATATCATGAAATGCCGAATCTCCAGACAGTATATATTTTAATGGAGTTTTGGTCCATAATAATCCAAGTACCACATGTATTAATAAATATATTTGTAAGTATCCTGCATTTGGTTGTAATTTTAAATTTTCATTGTAATATTCATTACATTTTAGTTCACATAGTTATAAAAAGACCCTTCACTCAAGTCTATGTAACTATGGTTGATGTAAATGGATTGAACTTTTTCGTCAATAATAAAAATAATTGTTATTGTTACATGACAACCATGTTATTTATAAGTTGTGACCATTTTGTATATATGTTGTTAATATATTGTATAATTATATATGTAACAAATTATTTAGTTGTGCTGTTTGTTTTTATTTTATTAAAGTTAAAACGAATGCAACCACTAAAGAAGACAACGTTACAAATTGAAGCAGAAATTTATAACGAATCATGTTGACGATTGGACATGAATCGCAGAAAAGCATCATTGTCGAATGGTTATGAATCAAATCATTGTACTATAATTGCGTAAATATATTTTAAAATTTAGGCCTGTCGAATGGTTATGAATCAAATCTTTCTACTATAGTTGCGTAAATATATTTTGAATTTTAAGCCTGTTTTTCAAATTTATTCATTATAATTAAAATTGTCATTAATCATGTGTTTAATACATTTTACTGTCCTTAAACTAATGAAAAATACGCCAATTTTAAAGCCAAAAACTACAGTCGATTATGCTGAAAAAATTTTAAATAATTAAGTAGACGGGGTCTAAAAGGAAAATATTTAAAATAATTCAAATAAGATTGCCTGATAAAATCAAATCCCATGCGCGACCCAGTTAATTAACAAAGACAAAATCACGATGGAACGGTAAAATACGGTAGTATGTAAAAGTGACTAATTGTTGTTCAGCCAATTCTTGTCCCGCATTGAGTAGCCGCTGTTTTGCCATCGTTGGCTAGCCACGGTTGGTCCACAAAATATTCTTATAGCGTCGGCAGCCAAAGCCGGT